GAGCAGGACGGCCGCCAAACGCGCCGTTGGGGCAAGAGCGCGCGAAGTGTCCGTACCGGCCACAGTTCTGTTTGTCCGAGGAGACAAAGATGAGAATGCTGGAAGACTAGGATATACGTTACACTCACGTAGCACTTCTGACCGGAGTTCTGCTTGAGACTGGGACACTCGGCCTGGATGTGGCCTACGCCTCCGCACGAATAGCACTGCTTAGCCGCGACCGAGCGAGGCTGGGGGCATGCCGCAGACTCATGTCCTGGCTGGCGGCAATTGTAGCAGAGACGCTGCTCCGAGGAACAGTTCTCTGCGATGTGCCCCACTGGACAAGCACCAACGGTTACGCCAAGTCCGCAACAAATGTATGGATGCACGCACAATTGCCGCACTTGAAACACCCCTTCCTGCTGAACTGATACGCCATTCTTCCCTACAAATTGCCTGAACCTAGCATAGGGGTTACCAGAGCCCGGGGAGCTCGAATGGCTTTACGTACCTCGCTTCTTCCCACTTCCTACAAACCCAGTTACCCAGCCTTCCTTTCCACCCTCCTTCGTAAGGATAGGACCGGCGACGAGTGAGATGAGCGATTGCGATAAACCAGCAAGATGGCGGAGCATCTGCATTGCGTCGCTGCTTCAGGGCCGGCCGTGTGTCCGGATCCGGCAACTCCAAGCCGCCATCACAGCGCAGTATCCTACCTGTCTGCCTTGTGCTACTTACCAAAGACTAGCGGTAGATCTCCTGTGGCTCCTGCTGCCCGCATGTGTTGCGCTCGCGAACTGCTTTTGTATTGCCTCCCTCGGCGTGCCTGCCTCTGCCATGCGTCAGTCCCACACGCGAGGAACCGCATGGCAGCTTCCCTGTCTGCGATCGACCCGAGCACTCACCTCGACCCGAAGACAGCCGGCATGTCATCTGGAGTCCTCCTCACACACATAACGCAAGCTGCGCCCGGGAATTCCTGACCGAGCACCAATCGAGGACACCTCAAGCTCAAGCGTCCGTTAGTCCGACTTGTGCACCGATGACACCTCGCGCCTAGCGGACTGAGTAGGCAAGTACTTATCCACTCCGCCAGTCCCATTCACTCGCCCGGTTATCAGGTCAACAGTTCATCACCTCGTATCTCCACGGACGTCCTTCACGCTGCGGAACATGTAAAATGCAGTAGACCGCCCAGGGAGGGCCAGTACCACCCTTAGTGATATCTTGATCCGATCTCCGACACCACATAAAAGCCTGGTGAGATTTTTCTTTCCTCTCCGGGCGCATCTCATCTTCCCCTGTGCGTCCCTACGTCTCGGTATGTCTCTCTACTCTACCAGCTGCGTTCATGGTCCCTCACTGAACGCTCCTTGACCCCTCAATCGGACTTGCAGGGGTGCCCGCGACCTACGAGCCTTCCAGTGTACATCCGACCTCCGCCCACCCGCATCCATCGCGCTTCTTGTTAGGTCGAACATCTGTTTCGCTTGAGGTGTGCCGTACATGCTTTGCAGATTGGGTTCAGAGATTGAGTAATTGACCCCGCAGACTCCGTCGTGAGGCTCCTGCGAAGCGGCATGCGCGGCCTAGCAAGACGCGTAGTACCGAGCGCGCGAAGTGTGGGTCTATGCGTGGAAGGGCAGACACCCTCGAGCCGTACCACGATGCTTGCAGCGTCACTTGTGAGTGACTTCTCGGAGTTGGAGCTAACAGGGATCACTCATTCAACCTGACTTTGCGTATTCAGTCAGCTTTGTATGCATGATATGGGCATGCGTTGTCTTCCCTAACTGGGGCCGATTACGATCTATGATCAACACATTGCACACGTTGTGTAACCGAGTCCTCCGCGGAAGACGACCGGTCGATTGACCGTGACGCGTTGACGGGATGAAGCATCTAGCTGCGAGCTTCTCATGCTTCCTTGGTACGTCATCATCTGTGCAGCGCATCTCTTGCCCGACGTTAGCCAGTCCAGACTGTGTGCCACGGTGTACCCCTCGTTCAAAAGCTGCCTCCCTTCTACAGTCGTGCATTTGCATCAATGGACTCCAGAGGTAAATTGACGATAGGCGCAAGGATGCCTCGGAGCGGTTGAGATCATGCAAAAGTCCACATAACTGGGCAAAATTCGTGTTCGGCCTTAGCATCGAAACTCGCCGACACCATGATAGTAATACCAGGACCGGTGGACGACCGGCCGGCTGCGTGCACGCCACCGTACTACATCGCAACACATACGGTCACAACGCACGCTCTTCCGGGCAGTGTAAATAGCGCGAATAGTAGCAGCAACCGTCTTGATGCAGCGCACGCGAGTGTGAGAGCCACCAGGTATGTTCTGTGGTCAGTTCCTGGAGTATTCTCACAGCCAGCTCAGGACAGGCTGTGGTTTAGAGCGGTCGCACACTGTACTTACCGAAACAGGCCCTTGAGATAGCTTGAAACATGCTGGAATTCTCAGGGCGCAGTAACCGCTTATCTCTCGTGCTTACTCAGGCGCAGGGCGGCTCAGCGCTCCTCCGTCGGGGTACGCACGCCCTCACATACTTATCAGTCGATTCATGGGGGTCCGGCAGTGTTTCCTTCGCACCTACGACGAGCATCCCCGCCGCAATGTCGCAATATCTGACCGAGAAGGTGCAAGAGAAGCGGAAGGCAATCGACCTGTCTCATCACCTGTCCGACCTCTCTCGCGCGCGCGCGACGTCGCCTCTCAAGGGCTTGGCGCGATACTTCGGACGACCCGACCTGATCAGCCTCGCGGGGGGTACGCTTCTGTGGGATTTCACAGAAAAGCGACTTGTAGTATTGACGTCCGCGATGTGCAGGAATGCCCAATGAGGCATACTTTCCATTTGCTGCCATATCGGGCGACGGTACGTGGAACGCTCAGTGCCAGCCGACCGCCAGATGACCTTGTTCGGTTTATAGCCCTAGTTCCCGACTCGTTCTCTCTTGCAAGCAACCAGTCCGAGTCCTCCCTGTCTTGGTTTTGGAAGCTGTTTGGCTCCCGCAAGGAAAAGACGACAAGCATCAGCATCCCGAAATACCCAGCGACCAAGGACGACATTACGCTCAAAGTCGCCCTCCAGTATGGCACCGCGACTGGGTTGCCACAGCTTCAGAAGTTCATAAACGAGCTTGTGGGGAAGATATACCAGCCTGCGTACTCGGATTGGACGACACTCGTGCAGACCGGGAACACGGACGGGTAAGTGCCCAATGTCTCGATCGCATGAGGCATTGTGCTAAGCTTAGTAACTCGCCGTCCCACAGGTGGGGGAGAGCGGTCACAACCCTTTGCAACCCGGGAGAAGCGTTCATCACGGAGGACTGGACCTATCCCTCCGCCCTGGCTGGCAGTGCACCTCACGGCATCCATCCCGTTGGAGTGCTCATGGATGACCAGGGGATGCGCAGCGAGGAACTCAGGAAGCTACTTGCGGAGTGGGATGAGAGTGTGCGGGGGTGTAAACGGTGAGGAAGTCCACCGCTGGATGAGCAATGCGCTGATCCTCTTACAGGCCCCATGTCATGTACACGGTCCCAGTCGGCCAGAACCCCACTGGCGTCGTGAGTTCTGTTCGCTTCATGCACTTCGTAATATCACTGAACCTGTCTACAGACTATGGGACTGGATCGTAAGAAGGAGATTTACGACATCTGTGTCGAATACGGTATGTCGTGCATCCTCGGTGTGGTCGGGATGCGCACGCTTAAGCGACGATACGACTGAATGCAGACGTGATCATTGTCGAGGACGACCCTTACTACTTCCTGCAAATGGGGTCATATGGCGCGAAGTTAGACCGGGCCTCCCAGGCCATGCATGCTGATCCTGAGAGCTGGCTATCAAGCCTTGCGCCAAGTTATGTCAAGTACGTGTTCCTTCTCACCTCCATCCGGCATCGGCATACTTAGTATCTATCCACATCAGGATCGACTACCAAGGTCGGGTCATCCGTCTCGACACATTCTCCAAGGTACGGCATCTGGCTTCGTGGCCGCTTCGGTTTCTTTGCTCACGCGTTCGCAGACTATAGCACCCGGTTCTCGCCTCGGCTTCTATACCTGCAACCCTCGATTCGCAGAAAGGCTCGAGCGCGCAGGCGAAGTGTCGACTCAGGCTCCGTGCGGTTTTGGCCAGGTGCGTCGACGCAGCACTCGCGTCCCCTGGTGTCTCGCTGATAATTGCATTATTCCAGTCCCTGATCGCTCAGCTGCTTACGACATGGAAGTACGAGGGATATGTCAGATGGCTTCAAGGTATGTGCAGGTTACTGTATGTTGCTCGGTCTCGGTGATCAACGCGCACCGGTTCACAGGTTTGGCCGTCCAATACAAGTCCCGTCGGGACTTCCTCCTCGACGCGCTCCGAGAGGAGTTCCACATGCAGGTGTCGGTTGGCACCACATCCTCGTGGAAGGGCTGCACCGTGTACACCGCATCGGCCAAGCCCAAGACAGGTTCCAGCCGGATGTTGGAAAAGCGTGCGTACGGCTCCAAGGCCTTGTTCAGCTTGGTTCCGCCGACGTCGGGCATGTTTGTCTGGCTTAAGCTGCACTTCGAGAACGTGCCTGGGTTCCAGCCGGACGAGGAGCCTAACACGATGGAAATGAAGCTCTGGGTGAAGCTTGCGGAGGCCGGAGTACTCATTGGTCCCGGCCGCTATTTTGCTTCGGATCAGGAGGATGCGAGCCCGGTAGATGGTCACTTCCGGATCGCGTTCAGCTATGCTTCGGTGCGTTCTCGCTGCAATGCTTTACAATGCTTTCATTCCTCATGCGCTCAATGCAGGAGGAGGACTTTACCAAGGCAGTCAAGATCTTCGGCGAGGTTCTGCGTGAATTCTTTCAGGAGCAGTGATGTGCATATTTCGCTTGAGTCAGGCGGGTCTAGTGTTGTATAACCATGGCACAAAGCTTAGGTTCAGTGGAACTTGAACTTGAAGTGGTGTTGCTCTGCGTAAGCAGTGCGGCCCTGATATACTCTACCCTGTGATCCTGCTGCATGGTGAGATGGCCGAGCGGTCTAAGGCGCCAGACTAAGGATCTGGTCCTCACGGGCGTGGGTTCGAATCCCACTCTCATCATTAATACTCCTTTTTGTCCCGACGATCGCCTCTGCTGACGTAAGCCCCGGGCGTGACATTCACCGGCGCCTGACGCGAACTTGCCTCCCCTCATCTACATCCTGACCCGCCCTAAAGCAGCTACGACGCGCCCCTTTCTACGCGTCACGACATGGCTTCGGTCAGCTCATTGACCGACGATATCCAACGCGCTCTTCAGCAGGCTGTCGGCGATGCCAACAATGCAGCAGCCGCTCAACTCACGCACTCCGGTTCAAATGGGAAGCATCAGAAGAAGTCGAAACGCCAGAGGGAGGACGACCAAGACCATTTGGACGAGGATGGCGGGGGCGTGAAGAGGAAGAAAAAGTCGAAGAAGAATGACGGTGTTGGTAGTGGCGAAACAGGGCCTGCTGTGAGTGCAACAGGATCAGGATCTGTGTCGTCGACGTCGCCGGAGCAGAGTGTTGCTGGGAGCTCAGGCGAGACGACGCCGGCCTCTGGCGAATCGAGGGAACACTCTACGCTCGAGGAGATAGACGTGACATCTGGGAAGAAGAAGAAGAAGAAGAACAAAGGGAAGGAGAGGGCGCACGAGGAACCTACGGCCGAGTTGCAGCCTGCCCCAGGCATTCCTCCCACTGCCACCGCTCCTTCGGGCTTCCCGATGGACCTCCCAGCTTCCTCTGCGGACTTCCTATCTGCTGTAGTCGCGGCCGCATCTGCCACGGCAGGCCAGCAGCTTCAAGGCGGGCCACCGTTTGACCATACGATGCAGCAGTACATGGCATATCCTCCGCTGGAATTCGATCCGTACGCATACCCCGGGCCACCACTTCCTCATGGCCACCCTGCTGGCCATCCTCCACCCGCGCCTCAGCCTCATCCGCACGCCATGACGCCCGGCCAGCCGTTCCCCGGCGCGTTTGGGGATCCTGCAGCACTCCTGCACGATCTGAACTTCACTTCAAGCGAGGACTTGTTGCGGAGTTTGCAAGAGTTCGACATCTCTAAGGTGGTTACCGTTCTGAAGACCCTTGGAGAGGCAGCTGCGGCAGCGAATGTGCACCTCAATGTGCCGCCTATGTTTATGCCAGGACCTCAACCGGGACCGCCCTTGCAGCAGCCGGTGCGCTCGGAAGCGATCTTAGGACGCCCGCCGAAGCAGAAGAAGAATCGCGGAGCCGCAGGACAAGATGTCGCAGCTCCCGTTCCGCTGCAACATGACAACCCAGACCATGCGCACATGTTGGCGAATGTATGGATGAGTACGTCGAAGCTCGCGGAGCTGGTGAAGACGGAAGGTTAGTGTATGTGTAATCGTGCTTGATCAGTCGGACTTAACTAGGGCTCTCATAGGTCTGGTATACAAGAAGGGCAAGTTCTCTGCGACGGAGGAAGCTCAGCTCAATGCTGCCATAGAGCGATATCGTGTCGTGAGTCTCCTCGAGATAACAGCGGTTCGACTACCTAGATGCTCACCGTTTGATAGACGAAGGGTCTCTCTATGGAAGACCTCGATCAAGTCATATTCTCGAACAAGGCCGGTAAGGACAAGGGTCACGAGTCGTTCTGGTCTGAGATAAGTGAGTCAGTTCTGTCAGCCGCTTTACCATGGGTATTCACAGATTCGACGTAGCATCCGCTCTGCAATTGCGTCCTATTATCGCCGTGTATCATCATGTTCGTAGGGCGAGACACCCGTACGCAGGCAAGGGTACATGGACCAAGACAGAGGATGACTTGTTGATCCAGTACGTCTTGGTACCGTCGTGCTAGGGTTGTATCTGATGTTCGACCATCACAGGTCCGTCCGAGACCTCGGCCAGTCATGGGAGAAGATCAGTGATATCGTGCAGAGGACGGCCGCGGATTGTCGAGATCGGTACCGCAATCACCTTCAGGATCGTGAGGTCAGGCGAATAGGTTGGTTGCAATCGTACAAAGTTGCTACGTTCTCTCGCTCACGAGACTCCGTCAAAGGAATGTGGTCGAAAGAGGAAGAAGAGGAGTTGACTCGCATCGTTACTGAGATGACTGTGGACCAGGGCAAGGACATAGACAACGATATCTTCTGGGGCGTCGTGAGTCAGCGGATGGGTGGCAAGCGGGGCCGACAACAATGCAGAATCAAATGGTACGGTATTTTGCGGCCACAAATGTGTGCATGGCTGATCGTCCGAGGTAGGACGGACTCTCTCGCGCCGCAGCTCAAGAACACCGGTGAACGACCACGTTGGAGTGCGATGGACGCGTATATCCTTGTTCACAAGTACGCGGGTTCACCTCTGAGGACGTGCTGTCGCTCACAATCTGTGTGCAGGGTCGATTCCATGAACGTGCGCGATGACACCGAGATCGACTGGAAGTTGCTCCCCGACGAGAATTGGAATATCTGGAGTGCGCACTCGCTGCAGAGGCGCTGGCTAACAATGAAACGGAGCATCAAGGGCTTCGAAGAGATGTCGCACGCAGGCGAGTATCAGTTATGTTCCGGAGTGTGGATTCCGTGCTGATGACTACCGCAGAGATCATGGAGATCTTGAAGACGAAGAAGGCGCAGTCACCGCCTCCTTCGTCGTCGGGTCGAAAGAAGAAAAGCAAGTACCTGAGTGCGGAGGCGGTGAACGATGTGGACGACATGGAGATGCAGCCCCAGGCTGGACCGAGCGGCGGTCCTGGCAGTCTGACGGCCGGGTGAAGCTGATGCGACGAGAGTTTGTTGAATGTAATTATGCGCATGCTTTCTTGTCTTCTCTCTTGCTCTGTGCGATTTATCAAGACACGCGCCCACGTGACCTGGGACGCGTCTTGGGGACAACAGGGCCAAACAGGGAGGCGCCCGTGTTCGAGGTTTGGAACACAGCCTCGGGTCTTTGCCCGCGCCACTTGCTTTCGTGCTTGCCCTGTTGTCCCGCTCTGTTCTCGCCAGGTTTTCGCCTCCTCTGTCTACTACTTTTCTTCGCCTTCCCTGCTTCATTCCCCGATTTCTCTGCCCCGCTCATCGGCATGGCTCTCTCTTCATCACCACGCAAGGTGATCCCACTCGCGATGGAGGACGAACATGTTCCTCGGCCTAAGCCCAGGTCGGCTGGTTCCAACCTTACAAGACGCGTCTTCTTCTGCGGAGTTGTTGTCGAGGGCACGGAGGGTGGTCGTGAACTGTCACAAGGTGCGTTCTTCTGATCACACACGTCTGAACACAACCCACGCGGCGATCCGCAAGTGGGATAGGCTCACTGTTCATGACAAGAGACGGAGTCTCACTTCTTCTGCTCACAGACGTGCAGGAGCTTATTGCCTCGCTGGGCGACAGCATGGATCTGGTACCATCAGCACAACCTTCACAATCCCAGGACAATACTGACATTGCCCGAGCAGTAAGTACCGCAGGGTGAGCATGCCCACCCGTAAATCTCATAATGCGCCTACGCGATTGGTACAGGCAACGCGCCGACGCGCTATGACGAACACATCTGCCCTCACCGACATCATCAAGGAACTCGTGACGACCGAACGCAACTACGTCAAGAAGCTCCGGATACTCAAGACAGAATACGGAGACCCCCTACGTACCTTTGCCAGGGAGAAGACTACCGCGATCATCCCCCCGTACGAGGCGAAGACCCTCTTCGGTAACATCGATCAACTACTGCCCGTGAACGAAGCGTTTCTTGCCGATCTGGAGAAGATGGACGAAAACCGAGGTCCGGGTGTCGGCGATGTCGCTCTGAAGCACTTCAAGAAGCTGAAGGGTTTCGAGTGTTATAGACAGTACTATGCGAAGCATGAAGAGGTGCAGAAGCTCTTTGAGCGAGAGGTCAAGAAGAACTCTCGGTTCGCTGATTACATCGAGGTGAGCAGACAGTCCCCTAAATGACCACGCTTGACGTCCTGATGGGTTCCAGCGTGTCAAATACTCTACAGCGTCTGACTCGAGGAACAAGTTTGGTCTGCGCGAGCTCATCGCAGAACCATGGCAGCGCATACCGCGTTATACCCTCATGTTCAACACCATGCTCAAACACATGGCCATGAATCACCCACAGCGTCCCCAGCTCGAGGAGGCCATTCAGCATGCGAGCACGATTGCTCGCGCCGAAACTGACGCGGAGACGAAGCGCATGGCAATCATGCACTGTCTCTCGACATCCATTGACGACTTCCCTGTGAACCTGATCTCGAACTCGCGACACTTTATCGACTGCATCGATGTGCAGGATGTCATCGCCCCCGATCCTCACGCGCCAATATCCTCCAACGGACCTGCTGGAGCTAACACTCTTCATTGCACGCTCTTCCTTTTCGACGACAAATTGATGATCGTCAAGCGTCCGAATGAGAAGAGTGGCAGATCGTTGGCTGGCCTGGACCAACTCGACAAAGTCGTCAAAGGCGGTATCTTGCCCTCTAGTATGCGGAAGAGCGGTTTGGTGTGCAAGGGCGTGGTAGACATTACGGATGTAGCCGCCACGGATGTCGGTGGAGCTGGTGTGTACCACAACAGCCTTATCAATATATATGTTGTTAACCGTACCTATCGTGCGCATAGACTTTCACGTGTTCCTCGAGAATGCCTTGCTAGATCAGGGAGAGCGATGGGGTGGAAGGCAATTCCGCTCGCTATCAGTTGTCTTCCCTCCTGCAGCTGTCTACCTCGATCCCCCGCGCACGGAAAGCGAAAAACACAGGTTCCTTGAGAACTTGTGGACTGCGCAGGCTCGGTTGCGGACGCGCGCGGAGCGATCGATTGTGCTCCGGGGCGAAGAGAGGGAAGTGGAGAACAGGAGTGGTTATACCACCTTCGCAAGGACATACTTCAACGTCTACACTCGCATGGCTTTTCTGCAGGAGCCTAAGAAGGTATGTGATATGTCTTCAGTATCGTACTCTGTTCTTGATCATATCGTCACATGCAGACGAAGATTGTCATGCATATTGATCAAGAGGGCGTAGCGGACGCGATTCCATTCGGTGATATCGAAGGTCCGTACGTCATCGTTCGGGTGCAACCGATGGCT